ACAGCAGTGTCCCAAGAGTCTTGGAATTTTAAATACTATGGATCTACATTTCATTAGATCCTAAAAATTTTTAAAAAGCAGTCAAAATTCTTGAACTTGTTTTAAGCAGCTGAATCTATTCAGTTTGCCTCACTGTCGGAAGCTTCATCAAAATTCTGAACAAGGTCACCCTCCTCAAGAGCAATGGTGGCTTCCTGTCCAGCTTCCGCCCCTGTCCTGAAGCTTCTCAACACCAAGCTGGTTTCAGATGCTGGTGGCATTTCCACCAGCAGCTGCTTTGTCTTAGCATGGCTGCGAATGGCCAGAGTGTTTGCTGCCAGAGATGCTGAACACTGGGACTGTTGAACAGGATCTCTACTCCCTGGTTTGCAAACATATTACCTCTTCCGTATCAGAGATACTACTTATTTCTAATTTCTTTGAGGAGAACTGAAGATTGCATTATCAGCTATGACAGACAGTGTTGGTTGTATCACTGGAAGGCAGCTCCTTTTCATTAATGCATACTTTTCCCAGAGGCTGGCAAGTTCCCCTGGTTTATGATGGGCTGGGTTCTTTTTATTTTGTTGGAAATAGGGCTTCATGGGGCACTAGGGTTGGCACTCAAGAGGTGTCAGGCAGACTAGCCGAGAGTTCAGTTTCTGATAAAGGGAAAACTTAACATTCAACAATTCAGAATGTTTAAAGTCTTTTTTTTTTTAAGGAAATGAAGGCAATTCCCTCTTTCTCCTAATTTACTAATCTTTAGTGAAAAATATGAAAAGCTATTCTATTTTAATCAAATTGTTGGTTTTTTTCCTTTATTTTTTTATTTTAATTATTAAAGGTTATTTTCTTTTAATCTGTTAATATATTTAGTTACATATACAGATTTTCTAATATAAAACTGTGCCAGCATACCTAGGACAAACCCAGCTCAGACACACCGTATTACCTCTTTCTACACACAATTAAATTTGATTTAGTAATATTTTCTGGGGAATTTTAACATGTTTATCCTTGAGTCAAACAGCACTACAATTTATTTTTTTATTAATGCTTTTGGAAACCAGGTCATATTGACCTGAAAGAAGGAGTAAGAATTCCCATCAGTTGGCCTCAGTGAAAAAACGGAATTAGGAGCTGTCTCTGGAAACCTAAATTATATGTAAGTTGAAGAACCTCAGAATTGGCTACAGTTTCTAACTCACCCTAATCCTCAGATTTAGAAATGCAAACCTTTATGTCTCATAGAAGAATTTGGACTTTCGGCCAGCGCTGCCCACACTTGGAAAACCACCACCCTGGTAGGGAGAGCTCCTGTCTTCCAGCTGCTATCCCAGCAGTCGCAAGGAAGCACGGAGATGGGCTCCACGGCACCACACGTGACTCTCCCTGATCCATGGCCACATTCTAGACTCCCAGTGGATGAGTGAAACTGCAGATAGCACCAAATCCCACAATTTAATGCCTTTTCCATCTTCACTAAACATTTGTCACGCAATATGGCCATAACGTTTGCAGTTTGAGGTGTGACAGTAAAACCAGCGTGGATTTTTCTCCTGCTCCACAATTTCACAGATAGGAGATTCATTCCTATGCAGATTGCAGCAATCTCAGGATATGACTGCTTTTCTTAATCAAGTTGACAATTTTCACCTATTCACTTAAAGGCAGCACCATATGACTTCTCTGACACTGATAATTCTCTGAATTGCTAGCATCACTCTCTTGTATTCTGGGGCATCATTAAGTAAACAGTAAGAGATAACTGAACACAGGCACTGTGATAGAGCGACAGTGACCCTGATAGCTCAGGTTAAGTGACTAATGGGCATGTGCTGGACACAGGAACGCTTCAGGTCTGGGGAGGGGCAGGGGAAGATTTCTTCATGTTATCAGGTGGTATACAATTTAAAACCTATGGGTTATTTCTGGAATATTCCATTGAATATTTTCAGACCACGGTTGAACTGAAACTGCAGCAGGAGTGACTACCGTGCTACACGGTGGAACCTGGAGTGAGAGTCACAGAGGCGAACTGCCCTTGCTTGCCCACAGCTTTCTCTGCAGAGGGGGCCCACAGTTTGCCCAGCACAGTCCTGGCCTGTGCCTACTGCTCCAGCAGAAGCAGCAACACTCCTAGTTCTCGTTTTCATTGGATCTTTGTCCTTAGTGTGCTGTACATTAAGATTTAATGCTATAACTAGTACTCAAACAGTATTTTTCACTTTATGTTTCTGTGTGGGAGCAAATTGTTGAAATCTTTACTTAATGTATGCTAAACTGATCTTCTGTATATAAAGAGAATCGAAAATGAATCTTGATGTGAATGGAAGGGGAGAGGGAGTGGGAAAGGGGCGGGTTGCGGGTGGGAAGGACGTTATGGGGGGAAGCCATTGTAATCCATAAGCTGTACTTTGGAAATTTATATTCATTAAATAAAATAAAATAAAAAAAATAAATAAGAGTGCCAATTGTTAAATCAACAATGGGAGTCACTGGGTACATGCTCCCCATGTAGGATCTCTGTCCTTAATGTGTTCTACTATGAAACTTAAAAACAACATTACTAGTCGAACAATACCCTATACCTTGTGCGGTTGTGTGAGTGCAGCCTGTTGAAAGCCTTGCTTAGTATATATTAAGTTGATCTTCAGTATATGAAGGTAATTGAAAATGAAACTCGATGAAGGGCGGGATGGGAGAGGGAGTGGGAGAGGGAAGGGCCACGGGAGGGAGGGAGGTTGGGGGGGGGAAGCCACAACAATACAAAAGTTGCACTTTGTAAACTCACATTTATTAAATAAAAAAACTATATAACAAAAAAAAGAAAAAAAAGAACTTAATACTTTACCCTTTTAGTATTTTTTATGTTCTACTTAAAACTATTGGTTGAACTCTGTAATTAATACACAATTACTCTTAGGTGTTTAATTAATGCTATAACTAGTACTCAAATAGTATTTTACACTTTGTGTTTCTGCGTGGGTGCAAACTGTTGAAATCTTTACTTAATATATGCTAAATTGATCTTCTGTATATAAAGATAATTGAAAATTAATCTTGATGTGAATTGAAGGGGAGAGGGAGTGGGAGAGGGGAGTGTTGTGGGTGGGAGGGAAGTTATGGGGGGGGGAGCTATTGTAATCCATAAGCTGTACTTTGGAAATTTATGTTCATTAAATAAAAATAAAAAAAAAAAGTCCCAATTTGAAGAAGTCTCAGCCCTCCTTGAAAGCTTTCATGCCATAGCCTCTTTTCTTCTTTATGGTAGGATAGACCCAGTATTTCCAGATGCTTATATGCTCTCCTCTTCCCCATTTAAAACATCTCTCACCAAAATGTTAATTGAAACCAGGGTTTGAAACACTATGGGTGGAGAAAAAATTTATGTGCATGTCATGAAATTCACTTCACCAGGTATAAAACTTTTAATGGAATTTGGGCCAAAATTCAAGCTATTACTAACATGAAAATCTGTTTTCTCTGAAAAAGTCCATTATAGTCATGGTGAGTTGGAAGAATTCTGGAGCTTGGAACACAGTGGAGGTGGAGGGAACACAAACAGCATTCTATCAACTTACACATAACAAACAAGTATATATAAATCTTAAGTTTTACTTTCCCAATTATTCACGTCCAAGATAGGACTCATGTTATCACAAACAGAAATGTGTCAGTTGAGGAATGAAGGTGGTCTGAATGGCACTAATGATATGGAATGTCTAAGTCCTCATATTTTTTTCATGGTTTCTTCTCTTGAAGGTCTCTATGCTCATTTTAACTAAGTTCATTCCAAGTCTTTCATTTTTCAGAAGTCTAATTTACACACCAAAACTCATGATTAAGTATCTTAGCCTATGTTCCAAAGAACTGTTAGAAACAGGCACTCTGCCAATGTTATTTCAAAGAATTGAATGGAAATATGAAAACTAAACTTTTACACTCTCATATCAACATGAAATAAGATACAGTGGCAATATCTTATATAAGAAAACATGATTTCACTCATGTATCATAAAATAAATTTCTGAAACAAACTTGCACAGGAGAGCTGTCAATCTAAAAACCAATAGGTATTTTCTGTATTTCTTCATTATCTAGGCTTAAAAACCCTCTCTTCAATTCCAACGCTCTGACCATAATTTTCAGTTGTCTCTGCACTTATCTTACTTTTGTTTCTTTACACTTCCTTACAGCCCAGCTACTTTATACCACCATGACCACAGCCATGGAGCTGCTATGTGAGAATTACATAAATTAACTTATTTATTCCTCTCAACAATCTTTTGAGGAAAAAGTGTTAGTTATCCCTAAGTACACAGGTGGGGAAAATGAAGCACAGAGAAGATAAGTAAACGGCATATCTGATACCCACGTAGTTATAACCATTTCGTAGAACTTCCCTTCAAAAATCACCTCATGCTTTCAAATATATACCACCTGATGACCTCATCTCCTCCCTCTTAAAATTCATCCAATATAACAAGGCTGATATCATTACAACATTCCCATGGTCAATCCTCTATTATTTCTAAATACAGATCACATGTGTGCAAACCAAGTGTCCAAGGTCTTCTTCCAGCTATGCCCATCCTCTCTGGCCTCCTTCCTCACTTAGCCCATCACGTCAACGCTAAGCGAGAGGCGGTCTGGACTTCGTACTTAGCCTCGTACAGCACCTAACACAATGCCGGGAACATCACAGACGCCAGAAATGTCTGCCGGGTTAATAGAGGAAGGCTGTGGGGCTTCTCTGATACCCAGCTGTAAGCCACTGTAATACCAGGACTTACGGTGTTCACCAAGAAATTTCTTTACTATTTCCTTTAGAATAGTAAGGTACTATTGTTTAAAAATTCAAAAATTCACCCACGATAAAAATAAGGCAATTCAGAATTATTAAATCAGAGAGTTGGTTTTTCCTTTTCCTTTGCAAAATAATAGCAACTGATGGTTTTATCCAACTGTGTGCTTAAAGAAATACAATTAACATTACCAAAAATTTTATTACGAACCTGTTGAGGAGTAATAGTGTCTCTATAACTTGGTAAAATTTTTAAAGTGACACTTCCACTAATATTTTTCAGTAATTCTTGTAACTCCTTTGGATTGTTTCCAACCTCATGGCCGTTGACTTCTTTAATGATATCTCCCACGTGAAGCAGACCTTGTCGGTCTATCATTCCTCCATGAAGGATTCTGGCAATCACCAAGTCATTGTTCTCAACTCTAAACGTTACACCCTATAGGATACAAGGAATTGAATTCTAATTTACTTTATTAAGTAGAAATACATAAATACTCATGAATATATATATATATAAGGAAATTGTAACACTAGGTAAATGAGTCACGTTTATTTTTTCCATCACTGCTCTCGCCTATCAATATTTCAATCCCATTAAACCATGTGCAACTGTGACTATTTACCACTCCATGAGAAAAGCATGTGCATAGAAAGGTTAACTCTACAAATTAAACATTTACTACAAAGTAGGCTGTGTCCCATGGGGTAAAGGAAGCTCAAGGGAGCAAGAAAAAGTATTTATGCATTCAGACGGACTTATTTGATAAAACAGGAATACAGTTTTCATAATACACTGTGAAAAAGAAAAAAAGGGTAGTGACTGAGCCGCACATTATGTCCTGTTTCAGATTCAAGAAGGCACTCATTCGTCTACTCACCAATGGCTCCCCAGCTCTTTTGTGAATACCAAGAATACGAATGGCATCCACAGGTAACAACTGATTATTGATAGAAGAGTTATTCATTTCTGGGCTTGATGGAGGGGACTCATAACACTTTGATGCCACAATGTCATGGGCTTCCAAGAGTGACTGTAAGGAGTCAAAACAGCCTGTGGTTATTAGCCACTGACAGAATAAGTCACTAAAAATAAAATATATAGAGAACACTTTTAAGAAATAGAAAAACATATAGCTTTACTTATTAACATTCTTGTTTTAGGATTGAAGAGGTTGATAAAATTCGGTCACTTTTTATTTTTTTGAGAGGCAGAGACAGAGGGAGAGGGGAGGAAACAAATGCTACCCCATCTGCTGGTTCACTCCCCAAATGCCTGCAACAAACCCTGCCAGAATAGGAGCAATTAACTCATTCTAGGTCTCCCAGATAGGAGGCAGGAAACCAATTACTTAGCTGTGCCTGCTTCCTCTCAGGGTCTGCATTAGCAGGAAGCTGTAGTCAGGAGCTGGGTCTTGAACCCGGGAACGGGACTCTGATGTGGGACATGGTGTTCTTAACTGGCACATTAACTGTTAAGCTAAATGCTGACCCCAGACACGGTGTTTTAAAGCAGCATGTTCACTGGAGACTGAACCTAGGTTTCCAAGTCTGGTGCAGTGATTTCACTGCCACAACTGTCATCATCATCATTCAATAGTTACCATCAATCCCCATTTATTAGGTATCATAAGAAATAATGATGGCTCTGATTTTTACATTAGTAATTAGTAACTACACTGCTACTTTAGTAATATAATTTTACATGTATAACATGTGTGTTAAAAAAGATGTCCAGAAGAAAATAAGTATTGGCATTTTTCATCAGTAACAGGAAACTTTATATACTAATAAAGGTTTTAGTCTATGAAAGATGCACTTTTGGGAAAGAAAAAAAGAGCCAATAATGGTCCTGAAAACAATGTATTTTTATTTTTGGTATTTACTATATATGTAGCATTATCATGGATGATTTAGATTTAGCTTTCTAGAAATTTCTTGACATTCTTTTGCTATTTAAAAAAATTCATTCCATATTCTAAACAAATAATTTGTACTGCAATTGTGCATACCTGTCATAAAGCTACATTAAAACTTTTTTGACTGGATAGACAAGTTCAAGAACAGTAAAACAAAAATAAAAGGGAACAAATAACAAATTCAGAACACAATCAGGATGTTGGTTTGTTAATTTCTCAGCATTTCATGATGTCACTTATAAGAAACTGTAGAAAAATTTTCAAAAAAAAAAAAAAGAAAAGAAAAATTCACAAATCCACATGTAAAGGTTCGTCCTATACATATTGGAAGGTATTCAAAGCTCTACCCTGGACTGCTTGGATTTCCATCCTATGTTCTCAGGCAGGAGCAGTCACTCTTGTGAGAACTACTTCTCACAGGTAACTCCTAGTTTTATATCTGTGAACCAGAACTCTCAAAACTTTGGATTCAGATGTTAAACTCTGCCCACAACTAACCAGTCATGACATCCTGAAAACCAAAGAGTAAGGAGTCTAGAGATTTAAAACATCTCCTTAACAAAATACCCATAGGTTTACAATGGTATTATAAAGACAAAAGGAGCAACAAAACTCATTTACTATAATTTGAAACTCCCATTTTAAACTATTTATACTGAAAATTAGTAAAGGAAAGAATCCAGCACTTCCCTGCTTTTTCAAGTAGGAAATGCACTACAGGATAATTAAACAGGTGAACTGAGGAGAAATGCTACATTATAGAAAAATACCAGATAATAAATAAGAGAATGCAAAAAATTCATGTGTAACTTCTAATAAAAATATTGATTTAGGTAAGAATTATTTGTGCTCATCAGTAGGTAAACAGTTAATAAGAAGTGGTATTTGCATAAATGTTAGAATAGTAACACATTAGAATATTTCTTAGTGGAGACCTCAGAGAAAGATTATCATCACTCTTAGTAGAGACCAATCTCGGCATCAATAGAGTTGGGCCAATCAGGTATTATATATCTTCCGAAGTAATTTAAAATTTTATTTGTTTAGTTTGAGAGAGAGAGAACCCCATCTCCTGATTAATTCCCCAAATGCCTAGGAGCTGGGAACTCAATCCAGTTGTCCCATGTGGGTGGCAGAGCCCCAATTGTTTGAGCCATCACTGCTGCCTCCCAGAGTCTGCATTAGCAGGAAGGTAGAAGTGGGAGCAGAGTCAGAGAAGCCAGGACTTGAACTCAGGCATTGAGAACTGGGATGTGAATCCCAACAAGCATCTTCATCACTGTGCAAATGCCCACCTCTGATGTAGTTTAATTCACACTGTGTATCTTCATTTACAATACAGTCTGGCTCCAACTAATGAACTTAAAGAATCAGCCTTTTAGCTAGACTCTCTGTTTACAGGAAATAGAAGGGATAACTAAACTAAGCAGTGGAGAAGCAAGCATTCAAACTGAGGAGGGGGACATTCTACAAGGTCAGCATCATGATCAGAAGGGAAAGGGGAGGCTCCAGCCAGATGCCACAGATAGACCTAGGCTGGAAATGAGCGCGTACCACACTCTCCCTCCAAGGTTTCCTGCTGTCCTCAGGATAAAGTCCAAGGTACTTTATAAGGATCTGATCAACTGGCACTGTGTAAGGTGTCTGTGACATGTGTCATTTTTCTTTTTCATCTAATATACTGACTTGTGTAGGAACTATCACACTTTTAAATCTTCATTTTTTGCAGTAACATTGCTGGAAAGTCACATAAAGTCTTTGGCTCAGACAGAACAAAAGGGTGCTTCCATTTGATTTTCGATGCTAAGATTTCCAAGGGAAAGAAGGTGAGCCTTCCTTCTTCTATCCCGTTCTTTCACCACTACAATGCACTGTCTGTCATAAATCTAGTTGCTGTGTATGGATGGATGTATTTTTATTCTCTTCAATTACTCTATTTTCCTAGCATTGCCCCAACACCAAATTATCCTAATTATTCTGGGTTTAAAAGAAATAGTCCCTGCCCTTTCTCTTCTGAAATGGATCCTTCTTTGTGAAACTGATAAACTCTTAATTGGGATAGGCCAATGCTTAAATTGCATTTATTTTTTTACTTAGTATGTTATGTAATAGAAGTTTCTAGCCTTACACAGCTTTCTTCTGCCCCACAGTAATCAGTTGCGTCCCAGTCTTGAGAAACACATGCAAAATGTGCATTATTGGGCCCCAGAAGGACTTAGCATCAGAGAAGCAGCAAACAAGAAAAAAATCCATCATCACAGTGAGGAAAATATCTCTTGCATGTGTCCTGATGGTGAATTAGAGCTGTTTTCTTTAACCACACAAAGGAAAACCCATTGTGATATATTTCTGTTACAGACATTGTATGTACATTTAGCCACATACATCCAATCTTGTACGCTGACACAGCAAGATATTAAAATACCTAAGTTGGAATTTACATACTTACAAAATATAGTCCTAAATAATCCTAGAAATCCACCATCATAAAGTTGAACTTAACCACTCCTGGAGAGGAGGAGGACAGGGAAAGGTTACCTGGAAGTGTGGTTCTTTGAGTATGCCAACCAGTTCTGCTGCATTTTCATCCACGTTTATGAGAGGAGTGATATCCTCCAGAATTTCATTGACTAATTCCAAGTTATTGTCACTGACAGCTTCTAGTTTTGAGTCTTCAAGTTTCTCATGAGCCTGGAAAAATGACAGTGGCTTCAAGTAATCGCATCTGTTTTGCTCCCGATCATGGCTTACTTCTGGATTTTTTCTGTAACTTTGAAAGATAATACTTGGAGGATTGATTCATTGAAAGCAAATTTAGTATTTTATTTATTTATTTATTTTTTATTTTTGACAGGCAGAGTGGACAGTGATAGAGACAGAGAGAAAGGTCTTCCTTTGCCATTGGTTCACCCTCCAATGGGCGCCACGGCTGGCGCGCTACGGCTGGTGCACCATGCTGATCCGATGGCAGGAGCCAGGTACTTATCCTGGTCTCCCATGGGGCGCAGGGCCCAAGCACTTGGGCCATCCTCCACTGTACTCCCGGGCCATAGCAGAGAGCTGGCCTGGAAGAGGGGCAACCAGGACAGAATTCACCGCCCCGACCGGGACTAGAACCCAGTGTGCCGGCGCCGCAAGGCGGAGGATTAGCCTAGTGAGCCGTGGCGCTGGCCTACGAATTTAGTATTTTAATCAGAGACAATATGCATACTGTACAGTAATTATGCAATATAGTCAACCTTGGCCTCTATTCTTACACTGAAAGTCATGGAACGTGACTCATTTTTCTAACAATTCATGAAAAATCTGAACAGAGTAGATGACTGTTTAAAAAACACATACTCCTTGCCCACTGACAGATTTCTTATTACTTTCTACTTGAGGCTTAAACTCTAGATGCTATTTATGTTTTACTAAAATAACAAAAACAAGAATAGGAACAGAACCACTATGTCAGTATTTTAAAATATGATAGAAAGCATTCTGGAAGTCCCAAAACGCTAAAACTACAACTTTTCAATTCTTAAAATCAGCAGAAGAGTCCATTCACGGCAGGTGATTGTTGCATTGTTCTCTGAAAGACCTGATGACTTCATTACAGGAATGACACCCTCCTGTTTCTGTGTCTTAGGTTGCTTTGTTGTTTGAATTCTCACAATCTTTCCCACAGAAAATGAGCCACAAATCACAGCGTTACAGAAAATACATAATGTCAATTATCCTTTAATAAGAGCAAAGCATAGTTTAAATTCAAACTGAGAATAAAAACAAGGTAGGCTTGCTTTCCTGATAAATGGCTGCTCTCTGATTTTGAGATGGGAAAAGCATGACTATTAAGGTTTAACATAAATAAAACCACATAAGATGATAAATCCAAACATATATTTTAAGATTCATTTCTATAAATGCATAACAAATCTAAATTTAAAGTGGTAACTGCAGGAACTTTATCAGACACCTGTAATAATGTCAATGCCATTTCCACCACATATGGTAGATTCTTCAGAGTACACATATACCATTCTAATGCTGACAAGAATCTTTTTGTTTAAATGTACTTTTTTCCTAGGTGATTCACAAGAGTGAAGTTTTTAGTTGGAAGACAGAGCTACATATTAAGCAACATTTTAAAGAACAACCTCAAAACAAACAAAATTTAAAGATATATCAGATAAATTGATAAAGGAGAAAGAGCTACTGAACAAAAATAAAAATATCAAAAACAGCAAATGTAATTTTTTTTTTTTTGACAGGCAGAGTGGATAGTGAGAGAGACAGACAGAGAGAAAGGTCTTCCTTTTGCCGTTGGTTCACCCTCCAATGGCCGCCGTGGCTGGCGCACCATGCTGATCCGAAAGCAGGAGCCAGGTGCTTCTCCTGGTCTCCCATGGGGTGCAGGGCCCAAGCACTTGGGCCATCCTCCACTGCCTTCCCGGGCCACAGCAGAGAGCTGGCCTGGAAGAGGGGCAACCGGGAAAGAATCCGGCGCCCCGACCGGGACTAGAACCCGGTGTGCCGGCACCGCTAGGTGGAGGATTAGCCTAGTGAGCCGCGGTGCCAGCCAGCAAATGTAATTTAAACAAAGGAAGAAGCTTCCGTTAGATGTCGATGAGAAAAAATTACAAAGTCTAAAAAATGCCACAGTGGATGAGAATGGTAACTATCTTTCTGAAAGAATGACACAAGCTAGACAAGGACAGGGAGACAGGGCTCTAAACACGTACCATGGCATGATCATCATCACTGGAAGACACTGAAGCGATCTACATAACTTGGTAATTATAAACAATCTAAAATTTCTGACAGTTTCAATAGAAATATTGCAAGTTAAAAACCAAACGAACAAAAACACGAGGGGCAGGTGCTTGGTGCAGTGGTTAACCTGCCACTTGGGATGCTTGCATCTCTTATCAGTGTCTGGGCTTGACGTCAAGCTCTGCTTCAGATCCCAGCTTCCTGCTAATGTGTAACCTGGGGGGCGGTAGGGGACTGCCTGAGTACTTGGATCCTTTCACCCATGTGGGATATCCATGTTCAGTTTCTGACTCCTGACTTCGGTTTGGCTCAGCTCTGGCTGCTGTAGGCATCTGAAAGTGGGCCAGCAGCTGTCTCTCACTGTCACTCTGCATTTTAAATGAATTTTCCAAAAATATTTATTTATTTGAAAGGCAGAGTTATATAGACAGAGGGAGAGACACAAAGACGGAGACATCTTCCATCTTATTTCAAGAAAGAGAATTGTTAGAAGCTAGCCTAACTCAAGAAAGATAGGTTTCACTAGCCACAAACGGACAGGATTCTGCCATGACTGACAGACACACATTTAGACCTGACAGAGATACGGCTTAGCCTTCCTGTATGGCCAGTTCTAAGAATCCCATTCGCCACTGCACTTAAGAAAAACGACCCGCAGAGAAGAAAAGGTTCTTTCAGAACTTCTGGGTATTTCTCCCAAGCACAGTCCAAGCACACTTGCAAAACAAAAACATTTTTATGGGGAAGGCATTTGGCCTAGTGGATGGGGACACCAATTAAGTTGCTCCCAATTCCAGCTTCCTGATAGCACAGAACCTAGGAGACAGCAGGTTCATGTAGTTGGTTCTCTACTACCCATCTGGGAGACCTGGATGGAGCTCTCAGCTCTTGGCTCTGGCCACAGTGGGGATTTGGGAAGTGAAGCAGTGGATGGAAGCTTTCTGTCTGGTCTCTATCTTGTGAATAATAGTTCAGGAATACTATTTTAGGAATATTACTATAGTATTATAATAATAGCTTAGGAATTTTATTCCTAAAAGTTGTGTGCTATATCTAAAGTGAGAAATGTATTTTCTTTTCTTTTTTTCTTTTTTTTTGGACAGGCAAGAGTGGACAGTGAGAGAGAGAGACAGAGAAAGGTCTTCCTTTGCCGTTGGTTCACCCTCCAATGGCCGCCGCAGCCGGCGCATCATGCTGATCCGATGGCAGGAGCCAGGTACTTATCCACTGCACTCCCTGGCCACAGCAGAGAGCTGGCCTGGAAGAGGGGCAACCGGGACAGAATCTGGCACCCCGACCGGGACTAGAACCCGGTGTGCCGGCACTGCAAGGCGGAGGATTAGCCTAGTGAGCCGCGGCGCCGGCCGAGAAATGTATTTTCTAATAATAATAATAGCATTATTATGTGTAGCTTTGCCTTTCTCCCTTAAATCCAAGAACCAAACCATAAATTTTCTATCTTCTCACAACAGGGCTAAGTAAATGGTCACTACTTACTATATATTGAAAAGTAAAGAGGAACTAAGCTTGGCTGTAGTCAAGAGTCATTCTCTTCTATTCTAGAGATCTAAAATACAAAACAGTCACAAATACCCAAACATAAATAAGAATTCAAGCAGAAATGAGATGGAGAGAACAGAGAATTCAATTTCTAATTTGCTTCTGCATACCAGAAAGTTTATCAGGATGAGCTTTGCTGTGAAAAATAAAGGATGAAGTAAGCATAGGTAAATTAGAATGAATTATCTAACAAGTAAAGAACTTTTCAGGAGGCCGGTGCTGTGGTGTGGAAGGTTAAGCCTTCACCTGCAGTGCTGGCATCCCATATGGGTGCTTGGTTTGAGTCCTGGCTGCTCTGGTTCCAATTTAGTTCCCTGCTCATGCACCTGGGAAAGCAGAAGATGGCCCAAGTTCTTGGACTCCTGCACCTTGGGAGACCTGGAAAAAGCTCCTGGCTTCCGCCTGGCCTAGCCCCAGCTATTGCTGCCATTTGGAGAGTGAACCAAGGGATGACAGATTCTCTCTCTCTCTCTCTGCCTTTCAAATAGATAAATAAATCTTAAAAAAAAGAAAAAGAAAAAGAACTTTTCAGAAATTACCTAGTTATAGCTCAGCACTGTGGCACAGAGGTTTGTGATGGTGGACATCCCTTATTGGAATGCTAGTCCTAGTCCGATTCAGACTCAGCTTCCTCATAATGTGGATGGTAGCTCTAGGATGTGGGTCCCTGTCATCCACATGGGGAACCTGACAGTGTTCCAGGCTCTTGGCTTTGGCTGGACCAGACCTGGTTGTTGCAGCCATCTGGGACGTGCACTAGTGGATGGAAGATTCTCTCCCTCCCTCTCTTTGTCATTCTGTGTTTCAAGTAAGTAAATTATGTAAGAAGAAGAAAGAAATCACCTACTTAGTGTTGCTCCCCCACTCACGGAGGAACGACACCGGATGCTGTTTTCTTTCCCCGGTCCTCCGCAGAGGAGCGGCACCCCCGCCGCTCCCCCGCTTTCGTGGAGGAGCAGCACCAACGAGCTCTCGGACCGACTCTCTCAGGGGGCCCCGCGTGTTGCCTCTCTCCCCCTTTTATAGTCCTCTCCCACCAATCTGTGCTCCGCTGCCCGCGTACTGAGCACCCCGCTTTCCTCCAATCAGAAGTTGGATCAGGAATCAGCTAATTCACGAAGCAGCTGTGTAAGATTTGTTTACTCCCTCTCAGCACCATATGGTGGGAGATCAGACGCATAGAGTTAGTTTCAGTCCACAGTCTCGTACTTATTTGTCTCCCAGGCGCCCCGCCATGTTGCGGGAGACGGACCCTGTTCCCCACACTTAGCAAAAAAAAAAAAAAAAAAAAAGTTGAAATTCCTAGATAACTCACATATCAAGGTATTCAGGGAGCTTCTAAATAACACTGGTGAGCCATAGAGACTTGTGTAGAA